CTGACTGACTGACTGACTGACTGACTGACTGACTGACTGACTGACTGACTGACTAACTGACTGACTGACTAACTGACTGAATGAATGGGTAACTGAATGACTTTCTGAATGACTGACTGAATGGCTGACTGACCAACTGACTTACAGAATGGATGACTTACTGACTGACTGACTGACTGACTGACTGACTGACTGGCTAATTGACTTGCAGACTGATTGACTGAATGTTTAAATTACAGAGCAACTACCTGATTGGTTGATTGATTGATACTTGTGTAATAAGTTTTAAAACACCTTTTATCTCCCTTAAATATACCTCTGATTTGGATATGGTTTGAACACGCAATTTTATAGGAAGCCAGAGAAAGGAATTAATTATCTTGTGGCTCATCAAGTGTTGGAAGACAGTCCTGAAGTGGTTGCAAAGTTTCTGTTGAGTGAACCTGGCATTAGTAAGCAGAAACTTGGAGAGTACTTGGGTAATTTGCAAAATGAATTCAACATGGAAGTTTTAAAGTAAGTAACTACCAGTAGCTTTAACTTAAATTAACCTCTTACACAGGGAAAAAAGATAAAATGTAATTTAAACTCTGCATAATTCTTAACATGGAGATGCTTTATCCAAAGAAGTATTCATCAGTTATGCTAATATTATGGGAGAAGAATATCATAGAGTTCTGTGTTCACCTACAACTTTTGCTCAATCTTATTATTATGCAGTAAAACATAATTTTCATCTCTGTCTTTTTTTTCTTTCTCGTGACAGGTACTTTGTGCAGTCAATGGATTTTACTGGAATGGAGGTTGATGAGGCTCTGCGAGTATACCAGACTTCGTTCAGATTACCAGTATGTTTCTTCTCATCTGTTTATATACAAAAGCTGATTTCTATCAATTTGACTATATGCTGTAAAAGATTACCAGTAGGTACCAGACTTCGTTCAGATTACCAGTATGTTTCTTCTCATCTTTTTATATACAAAACCTGTTTTCTATCAATTTGAGTACAGACTGTAAGAAAGTCTCATGTGTAAAGTTTTTGTTCTTTCCCATGATTTAGTTTGGGTTTGCACATTGTGAAAATTATTTTTTGTTGTTGTCTTCCTTTCCTTCTTTCTCAGTATCTAACAGATAATTTAATTTAGTGCACCTCGGCCCTGGTGATTGCATTAAGTTAACCTTTTCACTCCTAAGATCTTTTGAGTAATTCTCCTTACTGTAGGCCATGTAATTCTTATGATGTTAGTGCAAAGAATTTGGTATTAGATTACCCAATAATCCCCCTATTTATATTTTTCTATCTTCTCATCTCTCAGCGGCTTGGTATCATATTGATATTGTGAGGAGAAATTCTGTTTTGGTCACTTATGGGAGTAAAAGGGTTGACAGTTTTTTCTTTGATATTTCAGGGGGAAGCACAGAAAATTGAAAAACTCATGCTGGTAAGGCTATATGCTAGTTGATGTTACTATCACCAGTCTGATCAAAGTACAAAGAGCTACATGTCCTTACTGATATATTTGTCTTGTGTAGGAGTTTGCCACACAGTATGTTGCGTGTAACCATGTTAATGAAAAGGGCGCAGTGGATACAATCCTTATTCTGGCATTTGCCATTGTGATGTTGAACACTGATCTTCATAGTCCCAATGTGAAACGAAGGATGACAGAAGCTGACTTCATCAATAACTTAAGGGGTACATTTCCTATTAATATTTTTCTCATTTTATCATCTGAGATTTTAAAATAACTCACTATCATGTTAACTCATTATCATGTTAGAAGCTCTCTGTTTTGGTGGAGCTCTATATTTTTTTTTGTTTGTTTCAAACATACATACCTAATGGTACTGATTTTCAAAGTTGAATGCAGCAGTTTTTATGGCTTACAGTGTTTGAAAAGTGATAATCTAGAACATTTTGTATTTGGTAACCTCTAAAACAATCAACAGTTTTGCTTACTGAGACTATGTGAAGACATATGTCAATTTGTTAATAAATTGAATGAAGTACCATAATCTCCAGCCGTTTACCCTCAGGTAATCTGTTGATTTTGCATTAAATGCATGCCACTGTGGGTGTGGTGCGGGTTATGTCACCTACATGCGTTTCCACCTCTCAAATGAATATTATTGTATTAAGAGTGCCACAAAGCGGCATGAAAACATGATGCTGACTTGAGTTTATTTCATGCATAATTAGTTGCGTGACAAACACATTGTTATCAGCATGCGTGAAAACAAAACCTTGATGGTGACAAAAATAAACCAAAGATAACACTAGCTTGAGTTAAAGAGAATTTTCCCATTTTAAGGGACTTGTTAGGCCCAATTGAACCAGAGATATTGATTTTTTTTTCTGAAATCGCTGACAGTACTTTATAATTCAGATTTTAACACTCACCCAGCTTTCTTTCAACAAATCAACATGGCGCTGAACGATCACTCGCACAAAATGTGGCCACAAATTCGCATTCTGTCAAGTATGAAATGTTGAGATTTGGGCATGGGCTGCTTGTGTTTTTCCTTTATAATTTTATCAATAAAGTACATGCTAGTATTGACACAGAATTGTGCATGCATCTGAATTTCTTTGACCTTTAAACTCAACAAAAAAGCTTTCAAGTTTTCAAAACTTAGATCAGACAACTTTTAAATGACTGAAATGTATCACCTTAATGTCACATTTTCGCCACCAAAAAGTTGAATAACATAACGTGCAGGTTATCCACCAGTGCGTGTAATCTGTTGGCTTTTTTTTTGCTGCATGCAATAATTGGCCTGTGCAGGTAATTGGCGGTGCGGGTAATTGGCCTTGCGGGTAAACAGCTGGAAATTACGTTAAGTAACACAAAGTTAAAGTTCAACTTTTATTTCAGCACAATACCAGTGTTGATATAAAGGCTGAGCTGAATAAACCCTTAACCCTTAGACTCCAAGATCAAATTTTTAGTTCTCCTTACTGTCAACCATACAATTCTCATAATGTTGGTTTGGAGAATTTGGTATTGGATCAACAAATTATCCCCAAATTGATTTTCTTTTTTCTCATCACTTATCTGGTTAATATTACATTCATTTGATATTGTTGGGAGAAATAGCTTCCTTCAATTTCCTTTCAGTGTGATAGTGTTTCATCTGCAAGAATAATTTTATTAAATGTGCACCTCAAAACCCTGTTGGTTAACTAAATATTAATATTCATTAGGTACCAACAATGGTGGAGATTTTCCAGAAGAGAGTTTGTTAGCGATCTACAATAGAGTAAAAAAGGTATCTGACATCAATTTTTAATGGAACACTGCCTTGTACAGTTAGTCAGTGATCAGTTTTTTGGTGTGCGGGAGAAGCTCTTGACCTGCTGATCTGATGGTTATTCTTTATTCAGCATATTTAGTACATGCTCTCACTACTCACCATATACAATTTTACAGAAAGCATTTTCTCCAGGAAAAGATCATGTCAATGCTGTTGAGAAACTGAGTAAAAAGATTGTTGGAACAAGATCACCTTGGACTGTAAGTTATCCTTTAATAATGAAGAGGGGTTTTCAACCCTGAAAAAATTTACAGCTTCTCAAGATGGAGATAACACCATGAGAAAGGCTTTTAATATCTATGTTATTGATGGGTACTTATGGTGTAGAGGAAATTGCGGCTAATACAGGCACCAATGCGACTAAATTTTTAACTTTGGTGACCAAATCCTGAAAATTAGTTGCCAAATTGGCGACTAGAATGTTTCATCATAACCCTAGCAAGAGATATTGTGGATGAAAAAGATTTACAAAGATAAATCTGCAGCAAACTTCCTCATTAAGTTTGTTTCCAAAATGCAGCACATGCATCTCGATCGATAACTAGATGCCATCTTAGATTTAAGTGAGCTTTAAACCTTGTATATCATCCATCCTAGTGTCCACTTTGTTGCACGTTAAAGATCTTTTCCCTAACTTAATTTTGGAGGGTCCATCTAGAACGCTGACAGTGTAACAAAAGGTTTTGTTTGTCTTTGAAAATGGCGACCAACTTTTTTTGAATTGGCTACCACATTGAAGAATTTAGGAGCCAAGTGGCTATCAGAGAAAAAAAAATTAATTTCATGTCCTGCTTAGTGTCCAGGTCACTGGAGAGAAGAACTCTTGAGTAATGCAAAATGTAAAAATCAGTTTATTTTCCAATAGTACCTGGAACATGTACTTCATGGTTACAAGTGCTTTTTTAATTATTTTTGTTTCACTGAGTGGTGAATTAGGCCTCAAAGATCAGACAGAAGAAATTTAAATTTAAAGACAATATTCTCCCAACCCTTTCTAGTGAACCCACATTTATGGTGAATGGTCTGCCTATTGAGGTGTGATTGTTATGATCATACATTGTGCCATCTCTGTCTTTTCAGACACTGGCTGCTCTTCACAGACAGCTTAGATTGCTGACCCCTCTGTACGATGTGAGGGATCCAAACAAGAAGGAGAAAGCTCACCCCAGAGTTATCTTTCTCTTTAATGACATGCTAGTGGTGAGTGAGTATGCCTGACTTAACAGTTAAAATTTTTTGCTCCGTGGTTCGCAAAAACCATTTTTGGTGAACTAGCATGCTTTGGTGTGACCCTCTTTCGTTGTTTTTTTTTTTCCGTGTTATACTTTGTTTTGTTAAGTGAAAGCAACACTCGTAATGACAGGAAATTATCTGATATTTTTGCACTTTTAATTGGTACTTAAAGATCAGTGTTATTCTTTTTCAGGCCACTAAAGAACGAGGTAGAGCTGGTCGCGGAGAGGGGATTCATTATTACAGCTACAAGCTGTCCTTCTCCTTGTGTGGACTGAAAGTATCCACCTTTTCAAAGGACTGTAAGTCAATGAACCAATTGTGTAACAGCAAGGGACTAAAGTCGAAGTGAGAAAATCTGGACTGCGAACGTGAATAGTCAATTGAAAAGGATCCAAATTTGCTAAATATGAGGCAAATCCAAGGGCACACCTCCCTAATATATCCAACAGTTGAAGCTACCTATGTATTATGTAGAACGTAGAAAAATAGTTCAGTTGAATCCTGATTTGACTCTGAGTTGCTGTTGATCTTTCCTTTGCAGGTTATCCTTTTGGAATACAGATTTATTCAAAACTAGATAGCAGGGTATGTATAGAACTATTCAGCTTGAATTTGCACACTATGTTTAACAACCAATTCAACACCAAAGTCACAGTCATGTTCTACTTAATATCTCAGGAAGTTAACGATTTGCCATGTGTTGTTTATTAGAGTCTTAGTGTTACTTATATCTTGGTATCATTTTATAGGTTCTGGCCTTTTTTAATGCCAAGGATGAAGAAACAAGAAGGGTGTTTGTTGACGAACTTGTTGACTGCATAGAGGAGGTTTGTATTTATTAAAGTAGTGACTGCTCGATTGACATTTGGATGGTAAATATCAGTAATAATAATGTTAATAAAAATTTAGCAAAAGACATTCCACTGTCTCTAAGTCCAATTGGAATTTAGAATTATGTGGTGTTTGGCACTTTCCTGATGAATGTGTGTGGTTTTTTTTGCAGACAAATGAAATGGAAAGTGACCGAATTAGTAAGTAATTAACCTTCTTTAGTAGATTGTTTGATCAAGTTATTCACAATTAATTTTAGACAAAAAATTTTTAAAAAAATTACATGACATCTGTGTTGTGATAAAGCACAGAGTTTTTATGTCATCTTTTAATATTTATCACAGAGGTTCAAGTGGGTGTGAATGGGAATATTTCTTGCAAAGTTTTTTGCCTGAGTATTATTGTGTTGAACCATGAAGTTTATTTACATGCTAACCTTTAATTAACAGCGACAGAGAAACAGAAGCACCTTGGAACCAGGTTTAACAGATCAGGGATGGACATGAATCGCGTATCATTAACATTACCAAAGAAAGTCAAGCAGCCATCCCCAGATACAATCAGTTTGATTGACAGTGCAGGTTCAATGGATTCCTTAAACACTGGCTTGATGGGATCAAAACAACTTTCTAGTTCACTTTTGAACATTAATGAGACTGGAGGTGTGTTATGTTAGGCCATATTAGGTAGAGTGGTACTCTGGAATTTTTGTTTTTGATGGGGAGGGGTGGGAACTGTATTGTGCTACTGGTACTCAGACTGACCTCTTATTATTTTGATAATGATAATGATAAATTTATATAGTGCATTCTCCATGGGAATATGCTCTAATGTGCTTTAGAGTACTTTTTAGGAGACTTTGGCCAGACTGAATGGAGCACTTTACAACTTTTTGAAAGGGAATTTTGTATGTGCCCCCAAAAGGATATACACAAATTTTAAAGCACAAAAAAATCCATAATTGGAGCATCTACTAAATTCATAACTGTTTTCCCATTAAACTATACCCAATTCTTGACCAAATAGCTCAAAGGTCATTCTATCCTTGCCAACTCTTTTTATTTGGTCTTGACATAAAGTACCTCTTTTTATTTGCCTCTAGAGTTTTCAGAACTGAAGAAAAGCAGCAGTATTTCATCTTTAGATAGTGCTTTTACTGAAGCAGTAAGTACTCATGAGAGATATAAAACAGGTTTTCTGTTTATTATTTCTCCTGTCATTTTTATCATTTTTACTCCTAAGATTGCTATTTGGCACAATTGTCAGAAAAAATTCCTGCAAAATTCAGTTTCTATCTTCTTGTTTTCATTCAATACCTTATTACAGTGTTGACAGACTCCCTAGACTTTACCTGATACTGAGCGGCCACTTTTGATATTACAGCTCACATTTTCCCCTTTGAGATTATAAGGAGAAAGTGAAACTAACTGCAAGTAGCCTCCAAAATTTGTCATGACAAAAATAAATGCAAGGAGACCATGCAATCTGCAGTCAAATGTGATTGTGAGTTTA